GCACAAGATGCCGAACATCCTTAGCAGGATGCAGCTCACCCTTCATGCGACTCGCCGAATACCTCACGGCGCTTCGCACTTGGTGATGTGAGAGTCTGGTCTGGTGAGAACCCGGCGTGCTCCGTCCCGGCTTTGTGTAGGGATGCGAGGTCAATGTCTAACGACTACGGCATGTACGACTATGAGTACACCCCCCCCCCCCCCCCGGGGTTTGCCTCCGGGTTGGGGTTTTCTCCCTTGGCAACCATGTTGTAAAACAAGCCCATTTACTTTCGTGAACTCCGCAACCCCGGTACCGGGTTTTTTTTTACCCCTGTTTTTTTTTTTTGGGTACCCCAAAGGGGGGCCAATAAATCCTGTTGTGGGGGGGCCAAAACCCCCCCTCCCCCCAAGGGGGAAGAAACCCCCCCGTTGTGTTTAAATGGTCAAGCCTCCCCCAAGGAAGGACACAACCATGCTTATAACCGTCTCTGGAAATGAAAACCCCCAAAAAAAAATTTTACCCTACGCCGCTGTCATCCGTACGCAAGGAAGTAAGCACAAGATGCCGAACACCCTTAGCAGGATGCAGCTCACCCTTCATGCGACTCGCCAAATACCTCACGGCGCTTCGCGCTTGGTGATGTGAGAGCCTGGTCCGGTGAGAACCCGGCGTGCTCCGTCCCGGCTTTGTAGGGATGCGAGGTCAATGGTCAAACGACTACGGCATGCACGACTATGAGTACACCCCCCCCCCCCGCCCCGCGACATTTCCTGTAGGGTTCGCACCAGTTCAAGATCAAGACAGCGGAGGACCATTTGCTGTGCGCGGTGACTTCCTCCGAGACCAAGAACAAAGACCGAGGCCTGGTGAGCCAGCCCCGCCCTCCAACCCTACGTTCACGACGTCTGATGTTATGGGATAACGTTGCGTATCATGACAAGAACTGCACCATCGCTTCAGAACTGACATTTCACTTACTACCGGGCAACGTTGAATGCCTTGACAAGAACTGCACCATTACTTCAGAACCTCTCTGCGATATGATGTTATCATCGGGCAACGTTGTATGCATACATATTGACAAGAACTGCACCATCACCTCGGAACTTGCACTTCAAGTCCTCTCTGCGAGGTAATGTTGTCTGGCAACGTTCCATTATATGACAAGAACTGCACCTTCGCTTCAGAACTGGCATTTCACAACCTCTGATGTTGTCGGGCAACGTTGTATGCATATATCTTGACAAGAACTGCACCATCACTTCAGAACTTGCACTTCAAGGCCTCTCTGCGATATTATGTTGTGTTCGGGCAACGTTGCATTAAATGGCAAGAACTCCACAGTCACTTACCTCTGCGACAGGATGTTTTAGCATCGGGCAACGTTGCATTACATGGCAAGAACTCCACAGTCACTTACCTCTACGACAGGATGTTTTAGAATCGGGCAACGTTGCATTAAATGGCAAGAACTCCACAGTCACTTACCTCTACGACAGGATGTTTTAGAATCGGGCAACGTTGCATTAAATGGCAAGAACTCCACAGTCACTTACCTCTGCGACAGGATGTTTTAGCATCGGGCAATGTTGTTGAACGTGGCAAGAGCTCCACCCTTCACTTCAGAACTTGCAGTTGGCGTCATGGCCTATCCGCGATATGACGTCTACCAATCGGGCAACGTTGCCTTACATGACAAGAACTGCACCATCACTTCAGAACTTGCGCTTCTTGCACCGGTCGGAGCGACTACTCTGCCGTCTGCTCTGTACCCAGGTCATGGGTCGAAAAACCTCATCCAGGGGCACAGCCAGCTATGATTAATTGTTCCGACTCCACACCGCCCCGGTGTATCCTTTCAACGGCCGATCGAAGAGTTGGAGGACATAAAACTAAGTATCGAACCTCAAGGCCTAAACCCCGTTAAAACCAAAAATAGGTTGATGCTGTACTTGGAATAGGTCTTCCACACCTCATGGAGGTGTTTGTCGAAGGGTACAAGTAGCAAACTTTGTTGGGCGAAATCCGGATGCGCATTTGTTTTCCCGGCTTCGTAGTTCGCCGCCGCCGGCGAGCACCATCGATATGGTCTTCGGCGTTTCCTCACGCACGTCACGGCCGTGTGCGCGATGAAGGTTACTTTTGCAGCGGTGCACATCACTTTCCCCCTTCGCCGCCGGGGGGCTTTTCTTCCGCGTCGACTTCGTACAACCCGCGGATAGTTTTCTGCCACCATTTTGTCTTCGCTTGTGTGCGCGGACATCTTGCGGTGCTCGTCGATCGGTTGTTCCAGACAATTGTGTGATACGCTTGTGGGCTAGGACCTTCCTCCTTCATTCAGAAATCGCATGCATGCATACTTTGTGCGTTGACTTTTTCCGTTTACTCGCCGATTTGTTGTGTCAGAAATCGCATGCGTACTTGCAAGTTGACGTCTCCCGTTGTTCGTCGATCTGTTGCTTCAGACGTTGTGTGTGCATATTTTTTTTTTTCGCGGTTGTAACGATCGGCCTCTCGCGGTCCTATGCTTCAGAAACTGTACTTGGATCTGGACACCGGCCTCGAGGACAAGCACTACAAAGACGTTCAGAGGAAGTTCAACCTGGAAGACGCGCAGATAACCATGGTGAGATTTTGGCTCTGTGGGGTGGTTGTTGTTGTTGTTGTTGTAACCATGGTGAACATAATTACGATCATTGTGAGACGTGTTGTTGTTGTCGTTGTTGTTGTTGTTGTTATTGTTGTTGTTGTTGTTGTTGTTGTTGTTGTTGTTGTTGTTGTTGTTGTTGTTGTTGTTATTGTTGTTGTTGTTGTTGTTGTTGTTTTTGTTGTTGTTGTTGTTGTTATTGTTATTGTTGTTGGTGGTGTTGTAGTAAAGTAGTATTATAGTAGTAGTAGTAGTAGTAGTAGTAGTAGTTGTTGTTATTGGTGATGATGTCGTCGTTGTTGTGGCATGCGATATTAATAGTGTTTTTTCTTGATGTTGATGACGTTGGCGGTACTGCTGTATGCGGGTACAAGCAAGAGACGAAAGCACCGGGCGAGGGACGACCAAACACGAAAACACCAGTCACCCACGTCTCTGGGCGTGCGGGGTGTGCTACGTTTCGTACGTTTTGTCGCGCAGTTCAAGCTAAAACCCGTGGTATCAGGTGGAACGAGCGTGGCAGGCATCCCTATAGAAACAAATCCGCACTCCGGATTGACGATGATGAGTCCTTCGCTGTTGCTGACGGCAAGAAGAAAGCCGCTGGTTTATGGCTATGGATGACAGTGATAACCATAGGAAGGAGGAACGAGTGGCCATCAGTGATGGGTCCTGTGGGGAAAATATTGCTCCGTAGTCTCGAGGCTGCGTGGTCACTGGTCTAACCGCTAAGGCATGCAAAACATAAGGGTACAGCCCCCCCCCACACCCCGCCAAACGCTGTAGGATGATGGCCAGCTTCTGCTTCATCCTTGTGAGATGTAGATACCCTGGGCCGGCGAAAAACCGTCATATCGCCACGTCCCGGCAGCATTGTAGGGAAGACAGACCGCCTTCGCGAGAAATGAGTTTTGTGAGGAAACAGAACAGGGAGGGGGAGCGTATACCCTAACCAACCCTAGCCCAACCTCCTCAATTGCATACTTTATCCAACATTTTTTCTTACAAACGAAAAAACCCGCGAAGGCTGCTACTGCTGTGTAGGGATGCGAAGTTAATGGTCCAACGACTAAGGCATGCACGACTATGAGTACGCCCCCCCCCCTATTCTCCGTCCTGTCGAGGACGCGTGGTCCATGGTCTTAAACAAAACTTAGGCATGCGTTTACATGAGCACACCCTCCCCCTGTTCTCCGTCCTCTCGAGGTCGCGTGGTCAGTGGTCTATTAGCTAAGGCATTGCGTTTACATGAGTACACCCCCCGCCTCCCCGTGACCAAACGTTCATCGAGCAGATCCAGCTGAAGAACGAAGCCCAGCAGATGCTCCGCGAGGCGGACCTGTCGAAGAAGTCGGAGACGGAGTACCACCAGACTTCTCCTGCAGGTCAACCACGAGGTCTTGTGGTGGCCTGTATCGCAGGTGCGTCGTGTGACGTTTCTTGCCGGCGTTTTTTGGGGGGGGGGGGGGGGGGACT